CTCAAGCGAGTCTCCTGCCTCCGCCTCCCAAGTAGCTGGGACCACAGGCGCCCGCCACAACGCTCGGCTAGTTTTTGGTTGCAGCCGTCATTGTTGTTTGGTAGGCCCAGGCTGGATTTGAACCCACCAGCTCAGGTGTATGTGGCTGGTGCCTTAGTCGCTTGAGCCACAGGCGCCGAGCCAGTTTGGCTATCTTTATATACAGCTTATATGGGAAAGGCAGAATAAATATTTGATTCTTCCTCTTCATTTACAAATGTTCATAAAAATAAGTTTGTTTCCTGGCATTCTCCAAATGTCATCAATAAGGTTCTTTGTTGTTGTTTTGAGTATCATTATGAATTCATGGTTTTTAATATACTGATGACGTTGAAACCCTTGTTATAGGATTTTAATCAGAAGAATATAAGATTTGACTTGTGCTTTAAAAAAAACTCCTTCTCTGCTATGTTGAAAATAAGTGGGAAGCATACCTGAGTCCATAATATTCAATAAAACAGACTTTGGCTCAAAGAAAATTAGTAGGGGGCAGTGCCTGTGGCTCAAGGAGTAGGGCGCCAGCCCCATATACTGGAGGTGGCGGGTTTGAACCCGGCCCCAGCCAAACTGCATTAAAAAAATAGCCAGGTACCCCATTTGATCCTGCAATCCCATTACTGGGCATCTATCCAGAAGGAAAAAAAAATATTATAAAGACATTTGTACTAGGCTGTTTATAGCAGCCCAATTGACAATCGCTAAAATGTGGACACAAGCTCAATGTCCTTCAACCTAGGAATGGATTGGTAAGCTGTGATATATGTATACCATGGAATATTATTCAGCCATAAAAAATGGAAATTTTGCAGCATTTATACTAACCTGGATGGAGGTGAAACACATTATTCTTAGAGAAGCATCACAGGAATGGAGAAGTATGAATCCTATGTATTCAATTTTGATATGAGGACAATTAATGATAATTAATGACATGGTGAGGCATGGGGTAAGGGGAGACCAGACAGAGAAGGAGGGAGGGGGTGAAGGAAAGGAAAAGAAAAAGAAAGAAAAAAATAAAAGAAAATAGTGACTAATTGTCACATAAATTTGATTTAATTTTGACCAAAGTACATTACTTAAATATTAATTTTTAATTCAACTTGTTAATATGTTGTTTAGGATATTGCATCCTCATTTATAAGTGAAATACGTTTGTAATTTCCCCTTTATAATAATATATTTTCTCCAATTTTAATATCAGGTGTATCCAGATTAAGTAGAATGATTTTGAAGTATTTCTTTTTTTTTCTCTTGTCTCTAAGATTTGGCATGATCTGTTTTTTGAAATTATCTTTTATTTTTATTTATAAATATTAGTTGTTTATTTTTTGAGACTTTGAGGAAAAAAAATAACAAAAAGAAGTTAACTGATGACTCCATACTGAACCTCAGAGTCAAAGCATTCTATAATAGACATACTCTTATTTGACAATGTGAATGTTACTTTCTTTGCATTATTATTATTATTATTGCTTAATATTTCAATGCAGCAATTGTCCAATTGTCTGATTTCTTTTCTGAATATATTTATCTTTGTTCGTTCTTTATGAGGTTTTTGTTTCTAGTCCTCATCTTAAACTTTGTTATTGTTATTAAATTTTAAGCCTTTTTCATTCTGTGAAGGCAAAAATGGTAACCTAATAAACACATGTATATGTAAAAAAAAAAAAATAGTGGGGGGACGGCACCTGTGGCTCAGGGAGTAGGGCGCCGACCCCATATACTGGAGGTGGCAGTTCAAACCGGCCCCCGGCCAAAAAAACTGCAAAAAAAAAAAAAAAAAAGCCACCAGGCGTTGTGGCGGGGGGCTGTAGTCCCAGCTACTCGGGAGGCTGAGGCAAGAGAATTGCCTAAGCCCAAGAGCTGGAGATTGCTGTGAGCTGTGACACTACAGCACTCTAACGAAGGTGACAAAGTGAGACTCTGTCTCTAAAATAAAAGAAAGAAGAAGAAAGAAATTGATAAAATATCTAGACAGAAAATCTGTAAGGATGTAGATAATGTGTAGTATAATTAATACAATAACCATATATGGGATACTCCACAAAATGACATGAAATTACACATTTTTTCAAGTGTCTTATAGCATTCACAAAGGTAGACCATATCCTAAGGCATCAAACAAATCTCAACAAATTTATAAGAACTGAAATTACACAGAGTATGCTCTTTAACCATACAAAAATCTCTAAACACTTGGAAATTGTAGTTGATACCTACAATTGATACCTAACAGACCCTTGTTAGAGATTAGAAGCATTGTTTCCTATGATGCAAGACATTTCAGCCTGTGCAAAAACAAAGTTCACTCCAGGTATTTCAACAAAATATTGAAACAGTTTAGCAGGGTGTTGCATCTGTTTATTCTATCATGAAAGCTTGTACTAGAAACAAAACTACAGCTTGCTGAATGTTAATCAAAATATTTTGGTAGCTGATTCGTTTGGGGAGGTGTGAGAGAAGTTACCTATCAGGTTGTTAGATTACAGAGGGATAAGAGAAGGCAAAATTTGGCTGCCTTCCTGGTATTTGGTTGATGTCTGGCCTGACCCATGAAGATTCACATTTATGGCTCGGCGTCTGTGGCTCAAGTGGCTAAGGCGTTAGCCAGATACACCTAAGGTGGCAGGTTCGAATCCAGCCCCGGGCCCACCAAAACAACAATGACAGCTGCAACCAAAAAATAGCCAGGTGTTGTGGCAGGCGCCTGTGGTCCCAGCTACTTGGGAGGCTGAGGCAGGAGACTCGCTTGAGCCCAGGAGTTGGAGGTTGCTGTGAGCTTTGATGCCACGGCACTCTACCCAGGGGGACAGCTTGAGGCTCTGTCTCAAAAAAAAAAAAATTCACACTTATGTTCTTTATAAATCCTGGTCCATTTTCCAAATGATTTCACACAATTACCTTCTCCTTCAAAATTTCTTCCCTAGTTCTATTATCTATGAGAAAAGGCTTTCATCTCTGGACAGGTAGAGAGGTTTGCTTTCTGTGGTTTGTGTGATTGCTGTATCAGGGCATGTTTGCTTAATACCTCTACCATGGTATTAAGCCAAGACATGGTTCATGGCATATGACCACTGATCTATCTTCCAACTTGTATTTTTGTTCCCAATTTTAGAATACAGAAATGGTGGTAGCACTCCTCAAGGAAAAAAGGCAAATGGGGATTCTTTCCAGAGGAATTTTGGCAACGGGAGACTTCATAAGCATGGTGGGTGTGAGCTTTTGCCTTCCCACCTTCAAGAGGATGATGAAAACATAGAAATGAGGAATGTCTATGAGGGCCCCCAAGTAAGACAGTAAGTAACCAGGAAGCCTGGATTCCATATAGCAGCCCTTGGGACTGTGCAACTCTTTCACTGTCTGTGGTCTTCTTTTTATTTATAAAGTGAAGAATGGTAAAAGTGGGATATGGTTGAGCAATCTTAATTATAAATCTGGTTACCACTGAGTTGAGAGTATAGAGAAAACTTTGTAGCATTTCTGTGAATTTATATACATTTATGGACACATCCTATTATCCATTTCTCCACAGACAATTTTCTACCTTACAACCCCCAAACAGGAGCATTGAATTGTATAACGAATGCCAAGATAGAATTCGTTGCAAGAGAGAAATGGAGAAGAAAATGCAAGAGCAAGACTTGGGGTGCTGGTTCAAGATCACAGTGAGTGTCCTGGCAAAGTGTAGGGAATGTTCAGGAGAGGCAGGTCAGAAAGAGTTGTGTTGATCACATGTAGAAGTGCTTTGTCGTTCTGTGGGGACACAGGGAGTTAACATATAAGGGTAGGTTCAGAGAAGAAATGTAAAGGGAACAGGCTGACTGCAAGGAAACATGAGAGGTTGTCTAAAGGCAAAGGTGAAAACTACTGCCAATAAAACAGAGCAGCTCTCCAACAGATGCTTCATGGCTCAAGCTGAGTTCTTGTCAGCAAGACAGTCTTGGTCTTTAATAAGTAGACTATCTTGGAATCATATGAAAAGAAAATGATTTTCAGCATCTGAATTTCATCATTTGGGAGGTAAATGTGGAATACAGAGAAAGAACAATTGTCTGAAAAAAATATTTTTCCTTTCTTTTTAAATCCTGTTAAAGCTGTGTAGATCAGAAAAAACACCTGAGTATGTTCTCCATGATCAATTCCATACTGTCTCTCTTCTCCTATTTCTTCTTTTCACCCTTAGATTCCTCATGGAGTAAAGTATGACAGGACATGGCTAATAAACTCAATCCGGAGCCATTGCCGTGTTCCTTTCACCCCTGTTGATGTAAGAGGGCATGGTGAAGCCAGATGGATAGGCTTCATCCATGGGAGGGGGGAGATCTGGCTCAGCAGGGGCTGTTGGCCTCTGACACTGGCACTCTGGCCTTCATTCCCTGTAGTTCCACTATGCGAAATACCGAGCACAGTTCTTTGTCCAGGATGCTGCAACTGCTTCTGCATTGAAGGATGTTAGCTACAAAGTTTGCAGTGAGGAAAACAGAAAGGTATGTATTAAGGTATTCCCTGTACCTTGTCTTGGGACAGGAGGACAGGCCAGGAGTTGGTCATCTTCTGTGTGATTTGAGGCCCTGTAGCTTGCTCTGCCTCTCCTTCCTGCAGATATCTATCTTTGTCAGTCCTTCTGAGGTCCCCTACTCTGTAAAGAATAAGTTGAAGCCAGAACATATGGAGCAGCTAAAGGTAAGGCAGACTCAAAGCACATCGTATGCCACTTCCCAGACTCACCTCTTGCTCCAGGCTCCAATTTCCCTGTCACAACCACCAGCACAGCCTCAGAGCCACTCTCCATCTCTGTCTCTGCAGCTGACCATGAAAAAACGATATAATATCTCCAAGCAAGCTCTTAATCTCCAGAAGCTCCGCTTTGACTCAGGTATGGCTGTCAGCAGTGGTTCTATGGTAGATGAAAGCAGAGGGGTCTGCCTGGGAGGGAGACTCCCAGATGACAACTTGAGGAGAGGGGTCAGTGCTATTGCTGGTCCAAGTGAACCCCTCTTGGCCTTCTGATTCCCTTTTCTGAAGACTTGATGGACTGTAAGGTGGACATAATTCTGAATCAAAGAAGCTGCATGGCTGCCACCTTGCAGATCATTGAGAAGAATTTCCCTGAGGTGAGGCCTTAGGAAGAGGGATGGGTGAAATGGGGTGGAGGGCAGGCTTGTCTCCGAGGCCCTAGAGAGTAAACGTCACCTTAACTCTTCTTCCGCCAAAGTTATTGTCCTTGAATTTACGCAACAACAAACTGTACCGTCTGGATGGCCTGTCTGACATTACAGAGAAGGCCCCCAACGTTAAGATCCTGAACCTCTCCAAAAATGAGGTGAGAGGAGAGAGCCGGATCAAATTTGGGTGAAGGGTTGGGGGCCAGTGTGTACCGGGGCGATGACAACAGGCAGGCAGAGGTACCTGTGGGTGAAGGAGGGAACTGAGGGGTCCAGGGTCCCAGATGTCTGTCTTTTCCTGGGACTCCCTCTCCAGTTTCCCCTTCATCTTTCTCAGCTAAAGTCGACTTGGGAGTTGGGCAAAGTGAGAGGACTGAAACTGGAAGAGCTGTGGCTAAAAGGGAACCCGCTGTGCAGCACCTTCCCAGACAAGTCTTCCTACATAAGGTCAGTGGTAACTGCTGTTACCCTTCCTGGGCCCCTTCATCCCTCATCCCTCAGGAGCCTTAGCTACCCCTGACAGTGCCCTTCTGCAGGAGAAGGCAGCCTTGGCCTCTGGGAAGACCACCGGGCCTGCCCTCTCTTCTCTGTGTCCCTCAGCTGTGCTTACAGGGCTCCTTTCTTTCCCTGACCTGCTCCCTTTTTCCACTGCTCAGGGATGTGTTTGCCACCATTCTGCACCCAGCCTTCTCCGGCACGCCCTGAATGAGCGTGCGCCAGGAAGCAGGTCTCCCCTCCTCACCAGCCCTAGGGCTGTTCAGACTTGGGCCAGATGCTGGGGCCCTGGACTGAGAAGTCCAAGACCCCATGATGTCTCAGGCCTCCCTGCCTTCTTGTTGACATGGGCCTTCCCTCCCTTCTGCTGAGAGGGGCTCTCCTTCCCTCGCTCTGCAACAGCCCACCCTCCACCATGTCCTAGGATGACATAGTGGCTTCCCAGCCCCATGCTGAGGGCTGAGGCACGGGTGGCTGCTGTTGTGACATCTTTTCCTCTGGTGAAATGGCTGGAGATAGGCCCTCCCTGGGGAGAAAACTGGGTTCCCTGCATCAAGAGACCAGAAGTGAGCCAGAGGGCTTCCTGAAGTAGGAGTGGGAGGCAGAAAGCAGAGGAAGTTGAGGGGACAGGAGGACAGGCCTCTCAGGGCACTGCCCCTCCCTCTTCCCACATCTCACAGCATCCTTGTTCCTTCAGAGAAGGCCTGGGTATCCCAAGGTGGGAATGACTCCTTAGGCAAAGCATCAGCTCAGATGGTCACAGCTGGGCCACACCCATCAGCATAGAACCAGGTGATCCTGACAGGAGACCTCAGCCCCTCAGCCCCATTCTGATCTGGGGCCTGATTCTTCACTCCTGGGAGAAGGTCTCCTGTCCCCATGGCTGCTACATTTCCCATGCCTAGCTCAGACTGGGCTCACCCAGATGACAAAGGCCCCAGACCAAAAAGTGAATGCTTTCTGTTTCTGGCTTGGTGTCCAGGACCAGCCAGGGGCAGGTGAGGGAAAGTGCAGGTGTAGGGGAGCTCTTTTCTGCTCTCTTCCTCTCTAACTTCCACTGCTTTTGGAAAGCATTGTTATTTTACCTCTGCTTTGTTTCCACTTTCTTCATGGCTTCTATTCTCTTGTGTCTCCTCCATCTCTTCCTCTTAGACCTTCATGTATTTTGTGCTGTCTACCCATTTCTCCCTGTGTGCCTCCTGATTCTGGCCTTGCTCACCTTCCTGACCCAGCATCCTGGGCCATCTCTGGAGGATGACCTGGTACTGGGCAAGGCCAAGGCCAGGCCCAGAAGAATGGCAGATGCCCAGTGAATTAGCAGAGTCCTGGGCTCTTGCCCCATTCCCTGATCCTTGGGGAGCCTTCTATGGGATCCTGTAGGAAGGTAAGGGAGGCATGGAGGGCAGGGAAGCCCTAGAATCTTGCTCCAAAGTAGGGGCTACCCAGGAGGAAGGAGAGAGAGGAGAGCAAGAGGGGGAGAGAGAGAGAACCCCACCCTGAACTGTCAATCACTTTGTTCTATTTTTGGTTTTGGACAGTGCCATCCTGGATTGTTTCCCCAAATTGTTACGCTTAGTAAGTATCTACTGTCATCATTATCTTGTTTTACTCTTACTAACATACCTGACTTCCATATCTGCCCCCAGCCTTTTTGAGAATTGCCTTTGTTAGGTTTTTACATTTTATTATTAGCCAAATATGGACAATTAGCTCCTGAGAAAATCATGGCTGTTGTTACTTGCAAAATGTGACCATAAACACACACACATACTCAAGATTACTCATTCACACAATAGCTGCATATAATAAAAGAGGCTTCCAGGACCCATGGTGAAAATTCCAACTGTTGTCTTGCTGATAGAATTTCAAAGGCCATTTCACACCTGACCTTGTTCCTCTTGACCCATTTAAGTCCTTGCTCTTCCAGCTCCATGTCCCTGATTTGCACTGCTGACTATCTTATTCTCTTCCTCAGGATGGCCAGCGGTTAACAACTCCATTTTTAATTGAGGTTGAAGCACTTGGGATTATAAAACCTTGTAAGGTGAGGAGGGACCATGAAGATTTGAGGTGTTGCAAGGGGTGTTTTGTCAGCCATATAGTTTCATGGTGTCTTTTCATTCCAGGAAAGCTATAGAGGATCTGAGTCCTTGAAGAGTCTGGTACTTCAATTCCTGCTTCAGTCAGTACTCCTGGAACCATCAGGCAGGGGAGGGCTGGGACAAGACAGGCCACCTCCAGCACATGTCTACTCATGAGTTAAGGGGAGTTTTCAGGGCTCCTTTTGGGCCCAAACCACAGATATAGCCTCTTCCCTTTATGACTCCACAGGTATTACTTGATCTACGACTATGGAGACCGACAAGGTCTCCTCAATGCTTACCACGATGAGGCCTGCTTCTCCCTGACCATTCCCTTCTACTCCAAGGACCCAGATGTGTGAGTAACATGGCTTAGACTCTGCCCTGGGGCTTTGTGTTTCCCCAGCAGACACAGGCCAGCTCCTGGAAACTCCTGTACTGTCTAGACCACCATCCCTTGTTCCTCTTTCTCTCCTAGGATCAGCTTTTGGAAGTACTTCAAGGAAATCAGGAATATAAAGAAGCTGAAGGACCCTGGTAAGTGTGTGATAGGGGTATCAGCATGGGAAAAGCAGTGTGAAGTCAATAATAGAGTACACGGACCGGGGTGTGGCAGCCCCCATGCTTCTCTTCCTGACACAGATCTGCGGGCTCAGCTGCTTAAGTACACAAAATATGAGATTGTGAACTCCCTCAGTGTTTTGCCCAAAACTCAGCATGATCTTAACTCCTGTGTGGTAGACCTCTGTATCCAGACGGTGAGCATCAGCTTCCTCCCTCAGGCAGGCCAAGAAGGCTGAAGTAGGTGGGAAGTAGATTGGGAGGTAAGTAGGTAAGAGGATCATGAAAATCCTGATTTACTCTTCCTCCCTTTTAGGAAAGGATGCTTTGTTTTTCTGTCAATGGAGTGTTCAAGGAACGTGAGTGTTTGTAGAGTCTCCTCCCCAGATATTTTACTGCCCCCTTCTCCTGGCTGGACTTAAGTCCAAGAACTCTCAGACTTCCAGGTTGTTTCCCTCTCTTCCCCTCCCATCCTCTATACTCCCTTTTAGATTCCTTTGGTGTTCTCCCACCCATATTTTGCTCCCAAATGTCATTACTGACCTGACCTACCTCAGTGCCTGTCTGCCCCTGCACAACTCAGACGTTAGGGTCACAGGCTATAGAATTTGAGGGTTCTCATCACAGGTCCTTACGTTTACAACTTTGAACTTCCTCCTATTTGTTACCTAACTCCTCAGTTTCCTCATTTGCTAAATGGGACTGGTAAGCTCATCTCTTGGGCACCCATAAAGAAATGAGTAAAGGGAACTTGTGTTTGTCAAGGCAGTTGCCACATCTTAGGAAGTTCTATTACTGGAAGCTCATTATTCCTATTGCTGCCCTTTCAGTCCCTGAAACCCTATACTGACTCCCAGTGAAAAACTGTCCCAGTCTGGCTCCCTTTAGGGTGCCACAAGAGTATCATGTAAGATCCTGACTGGGAACCTCGCATGCACGTGTAAAATATCTGCATCTCTAAGGAGGTATCAATGTTTGTTGTTATTGAAGTGGAGGCAAGGTCTCAGGGTTGTGTTCGAGCCTTCACCCGGACCTTCATCTTAACTTCTGGCAACAATTGCAGGTAAGTGCTGTGTTATGGGTAGGAGCATCTCATCCTAGCCTGGGGCAGTGGTATAGAAATGTGATAATACAGTCTTGGGGTCTTTTCAATACCAGGAAAAGCTGACAGGTAGATCAAAGGAGAGGTCTAGATTAGGAAAATACCAATTGCTTCTCTTCACTCCAATACTTAATATTTAGCTGTGGAATTCTCATTGAGATATAAGATTTCCAGTGACTACTGTCTTTTCCTGAAAATGAGGATAGGGGTCTACTTCTTTTGTAAAAGGTAAATGTACTGGGGCTAAATCTAAAAATCTAAGCAAGTTGATAAACAATATCTCCAAAGGTAGACTATCTGGTAGGGGTAAAGGCTACCAGCCAAGGGATCTGGAAAGCAGGCAGAGTAAGGGTTTGGAAAGCATCTTGCTGCTGAGTGGCAGTGGAAATAGGATCATTGTTGGAAGTGTGGGGTTTTCCATTTGTCTAATTTTCTGAGGGCCCATCTTTTCTTCAGTCTGCGCATTGTGAATGATGAGCTGATAGTGAGAAATGCCAGCCCCAGAGAGATCCAGAGTGCCTTCTACATCTCAATGCCCATACCCTTCTCCAGCTCTTTGCCCACCATCTCTCAGAGACAGCAGGAAATGGTGCAGACTTTCCCCTCTCAATTTGGGATGGATCTCAAGTGGTCTCAGAAGTAAGTACTGAGATAAGGCATGAGGTGGGAAGAGTAGGGAGTGAAAAATGGAAACTTTCAGTTAATTTATAAACATAACTATGTAGATATTGTGCTTCCCCAGAAGTGGGCTTATAAAATACTGTGTATATAAATTTTATTATTATAATGATATTAATTTTAAAAAATGTGATGTTCAGATCTGATGACATGATCTTGTATATATAAAATCCAAAGGAAACCACAAGAAGACTATTAAAATTCTGCATATACAAAAAATTCCATTCCTATGTCAGAAATGGTCAATCAGACAATAAAATTAAGAAAATAATTCCATTTGCTTGCATTAAAAAATACATACTTAGGAACAAATTTAACAAGCAAAATGCAAAACATATAGTTTGAAATCTATAAAAGTTTGTAGAAATAAGTTTAAAAGACCTAAATAAATGAAAAGATATCCCACGTTCTTGTATTGGAAGACTTATGTTGTTAAGATGGTAATACTTCCCAAATTTATATACAGATTCAATGAAAATGCAAAGTCTTAGCTGACATCTTTATAGAAATTTATAAGTTAATCCTAACAATTAAATGAAAATACAGTCAACCCAAAATAGAAAAATAATCTTGAAAAAGCAGAACAGTGATGAAGAACTCACTACAAAGCTACAGTGATTAATCAACACTGGCTGGTACAAGTATAAGAACAGACATATAGATCAGTGGAATAAAATGAGAGTTCAAAAAAAAAAACCTTACCATTATGATCAATTAATTTTCAACCAGGGTGTCAAAAATAGCCAATGGGTAAAGAATAGTGTTTTGTCAACAGTTGTACCCTAATCTCACACTGTAAGCAACAACAAAACCAAGTGGGCCAAAGGCCTAAAGGTTAAAGCTTAAACTGTAGGCTTTGGTTTCTGCCATATAACAGCAAAAGCACATACACACATGTACCCCCGCACACATACAAACAAAATTAGATAAAGTGGGATTCTACAAAATTTAAAACTTGTTTTGCTTGAAAGACATTCTCAAAAAGTGAAATAAAGAATAATCCACAGGATCAGAGAAAATATTTGCATGTTATATATCTTATAAGAGAATTGTATCCAGATTATATGAAGAACTCAACCCAATTAAAATGGGCAAAGATCGAAATAGACATTTCTACCCCCCCAAAAGACATACAAATATCCAAAAAAGCACATGGAAAGGTGTTCAACATCTTTAGTCATCTGGTGAATGCAAATTCAAAGCTACACAGAGATTCCACTTCATACACACCAAGACAGCTATGATTTTTAAAAAATGACAATAACTAGTGTTGGTAAGAGGGAAGGGGTATAGGGAGAGATTTGTTAAAGGATACAAAATTTCAGCTAGATAGGAAGAATAAGTTCTAGCATTGTAGAATGATGATAGTTAATAATAATGTATAGTTTCAAATAGGATTTTGAATGTTTCTAACACAAAGAAATGGTAAATGTTTAAGATGATGGATATGGAACAGGTGCAGTGGCTCATGCTCGTAATCCCAACACTCTGGGAGGCCAAGGTTGGTGTATTGCTTGAGCTCAGGAATTTGATATCAGCCTGAGCAAGAGAGAGACCCCCATCTCTACTAAAAACTAGCCAGGAATAATGGCGGATGCCTGAAGTCCCAGCTACTTGGGAGGCTGAGGCAAGACGATCGCTTGAGCTCAGGAGTTTGAGCTATGACACCATGGCAACCTAGCCTAGGATGATAGACTAAAACTCTGTCTCCCACCCCCCCCAAAAAAGGATGATGGATATGTTTATTACCCCATCTGATCACTGTATATTGTGTGTATCAAAATATCACTATGTACCCCATAAATATGTACATTTATTGTGTGCCAGTTTTTTAAATGTTGGCAAAGATATAGATAAACTGGAACCCTAGGATGAGAATGAAAAATGATACATTTGATGTGGAAAACAGTTTGGCAATTCCTCAAAGTGTTAAATGTGGGATTACTGTATGACCCAACAATTCCACCAAGAGACATGAAAATAAATGTTAACACAAAACTTGAGCATGAATGTCCATGATAGCAAAAGGTGGAAACAACTCAAATGTCTTGAATGGAAAAATCATATTTGATATGTCAATATAAGGAATATTATTACAAATAAAAGAGAATGAAGTTCTAATATAGGCTATAACATGAATGAACCTTAAAAATGTTATGCTTGCAAATTGTATATGAAAAGACTACACAGTACCCCATGTTTGCATTAATGTATACAGCTATCATTTAATAAAAAAAAGTTATGCTAAGTGAAAGCAGCCAATCACAAAAGACTACATATTGTATGAGCTCATTTATATAAAATGCCCTAAATAAGCAAATCCATAGAGATAGATAACAGATTAATAGTTACCAGAGTCTGGGCAAAGAGGGGACAGGGGGAATGGGAAGTGAGTGCTAATAGGTAAGGAGGGTTTTTTTTTTTTTTTTGAGATGATAAAAATGTTCTGGAATTAGCTAAGTGTGATGATTGTGTGATCTTGTAAATATACTAGAAACTCACGGAATTTCACATCTTAAATTGGTGAATGCTATGATATGTCTTATATGTCAGTTTAGAAATGATTGGAAATTTTTTATTTTTTAATTTTCATTTGTTATTTACTTGAGCATCTTTTTAAAAAAATACAAATACGTATTATGCTCCCTTGTTCTTTTGAATTTTCCTATTTTTCTGCTTTGAATTCTAGTGGGCATTAATGTTAGTGATAGACATTTTGGTTTCCACGAGGTCTTTTTTAATCATTCTAATAGTGCTCATATTGGTACATGTGTCCCAGCAAAAAAGAAGCATAACTTTAGTGGCATTTTGTGGACAGCATGTCTGTCCTGGGGTATTAATGGAGGTTACTTGATCTCTCATCCCAGCTACCTGCAGGACAATGAGTGGAACAGTATCATGGCTGATCAGGTCTTTGCTGAGCTCCAGGTGAGATCTAGGAATCAGGTAAGTAAAAAATGGATGTTTCTGGGCCTTCAGGAAGGCCAGGAAAGTGGAGGCTGGGTGGACTAGGAAGGCAATTGAAAAGGCTTGGCTTTTTTGACATTCTAATTCCTTTCCTTTCCTTTCTCTAGACCGGGGGCAAGTTCCCAAAGAAGGGCTACAAACAAATCTGAAAGGAGCCCTTACATATCAACTTTATCTCCATCTATATCATCTTTGTTTCTCTTTTAACCAGCCTACGGCCAAGCCCATGACTGGGGTCGGAGGTCTGGCTAACCATGAAGCCCAAGTTAAGTTATAGGTCAAGCAACATAACCACCTAAAGTGACAGTCATTTTGAGTATTTTTCCCATCTGTGATCTCTATTTATTTTCACAATAAAGTATGAATTGCACATTGTATGTTGTGTGTCCTAGATCCCTCATCCCCTGCCCCAACCATGAGCCCACAGGGCCAGAACTGAAAAGAACCTTCTGCCCCCACCCTCACCTCCATTTGCTCCTGACTGGCCTTAGAAGATATATTGGGCTTGCCTTGATAGGCAGTTTGTCAATAAATTCTGAGGAGAAAAGACCTATGCTACATCTAGAGATTGGCCTTTGGGGACAGTAGATCCTGTAAAATGCTCTACCAGGAGACCTACAGAAGTAGGCATATTTCTGGCACAACAGGGGCTTTGGAAATCCTACTGGCTAGTAAAGGTGAAAGAAGGAAGGAAAGGAGGAAGGAAGGAAGGAAGGAGAGGACTCACATTTTTCTTCTCATTCTTCATATGAACATTTTCAAAGACCATGCCATGATCAATTCTATGATTTACACACAAGTGAATGGAAATGGGCCTTCTCAGAGCTCTCGCCACGCTTCTGTCTTCCCATCCTCTGTCCTGCCCCCTCTCCTTCTTGAAGGTGCACAGTGTGAGGAGTTTCACATTAGCATCTGCAGAGTGAGGGAGAGTCAGCCTGAGGATGAAAGTTTGGAGAGGATGAAAGTTTGCCCAGTACATTCCTCAGAAAGCTGACGCCACGTGCTCCATGTCAATGTTCTTGAGGGGGTTTGGCCACTTATTTTCACTTCTAAACAAGCCATGCTAGCACAGAAGTTCACATTGTGGGCAGCTCCGTGGAATGTTTCTGAATGATTGGAAATTAGCAGTTCTGAATTGCAGGCAAAAGTTGAAAGGAACATTCATACACCTTATTTTCCACACTTCTGTAATGTTTGCACTTTAGACAATGAGCAAGCACAACTTTTGAAATTCAAATAGTAATCAGTACAAAGTTTTCAAGTTACAATCCTATAAATGATGGCAGAGGTGAGGTACCACCAGTTTACAGATTATACTTCCACTCCCATGTTTAGCTTAAGTTATTCCCTACCACTTGCCACTTTTCAATTCTTTATGTACATGTACATTAGTGAGCCATATGTTGAAGTGTTAACTTCTTATAAAATTATGAACTAAGGGGGTAGTTGCCCTTACATAAAGAATGATACCAACCTTGTTCTTCTGTGTAGTGCCCCCGTGACAAGCTTAGACACGCTCCTAAACCTCTCCAAACTTTCATCCTCTCACCCAGGAAACAGAGAGCACACTGCATGTGTTTCAGCCTCATTGTGAGGAAGACAGAAGTTCTAACATGTTACCCATCAATTGTAGCATCTGGGCCAACTCAGGCTTCCCCACCTGCCAGAGTTCCCTTGTGGGGAGGAACCATGGAACCCATGGTATGGCCCCTCTACTGTCTGCATCATCAGGCTTCCATAGCCTTGACCTCCTTCCTTAGCCACCTTCCAGTCAGTCACTCATCCTCCTGCAGATTCTCACGATTCCCTGTGCTTCCCTGCTCTGGGAAGAGGCTAATCCTGAAGTCCTCTTTGTCACACACATTCCTCTGTACACAAAGTCACAAATTCTAAGTAGCATAACTGTGATATGAGACCAGTGGGGCCCCCCCAAATCTGACTGTGGAATAACTGTACATTCGTTTAACCACTAGTTCTTTATTTAATTTCCATGAGTATTTATGCTATTGTCATTTTAATGGGGAAAAATTAGGCTCAGAGGAGTGAAATACTCAATATAAGTCAGGATTTTGGTATACAGTCACTTTTCCTGTGCCACCTTCACCTCTAACAGATTCAGACTCTATATAAAAACTATTGTTAGACCTGAAGTCAGCAGGACTATGATTAGGGATTGGATGTGTTCTTGGTACATCCCTTTCCTTACTCTGATCTTCAGTTACTGTGCCCTCTCTCTCCATTTCTAGACACAATCAGAAAACTAATACTTTGATATTCAATTATAGGGTGAAGTAACAAAGACAGTAAAGAACACAGAATGAAATCAAGGTTTCCAGATAGACAGATATTGATTGCCAAGATTCATTCTGTTCCTATATTTTTTCACATTTAAGTATTAATGCTCTTTCTCACAGTAACCTCTCATTCTTCCAATTTTCTCCCACTTTCAAATGTTCTAGCATCTTCTTTACTTTTTAAACTTGATTGAAAGCTTCATAATTTCATGCACACTCAAGGCAAAATCCCCAATTTTCTTGCAGGGTCAGCAGAGTCACTAAATTTTCTTCACCCTAAGCAATCACAAAGTAAATGCACACTGATCCCAGGTTCAATTTTTCTATAGTGAACTGCTGTGAGTTGAGTTACAAATATTAAAATTTAAAGATATATTCTATGCCATCTACAAAGCCACCAAAAATTAGTGGCAAATTAAAAATTGGAAAAGTATTTGCAGTGTATCTTAATGACAGAGCATTAGTGAGTCAGACATATAAATAAATTTAACTAGCTAAAGAGTGATGTCCATAGCCAGCTATTATGTATTTCAAAGAAATTTTAAACTAATTCAAGCATATACTAATTTTTAAATCTACATAAAAATAAGAAATAAATAAATGGAAAACCACGTTTTAGAACTATATGTATAATGATATATAGAGTTCATATTTACATGTTAACATACATATATTAATCTCAGTGTTTGAAAATCATGGTAATAATAAATGCTTACCTTTATTGCTTTGTTCATGGTTTCTACACCTCTTCTGTAATATTTTCTAATTTCCTTTATGAGAATAATGTATAAAAAGCATCAATCATAAGAAATAGAGAAAATGTTAATAGTATGCTTTAATCTCAAATGGATCAATTCATTACTGATATTTTATTTATTTGTTTGTTTGTTTGAGACAGAGTCTCACTATATCACCCTTGGTAGAATGCTGTGGCATCACAGCTCACAGCAACCTCCAACTCTTGGGCTTAAGTGATTCTCTTGCCTCAGCCTCCCAAGTAGCTGGGATTACAGGAACCCACCACAACTCCTGGATATTTTTTTTTGTAGCTGTCATTGTTGTTTAGCAGGCCCAGGTCAGGTTGGAACCCGTCAGCCCTGGTGTATGTGGCTGGTGCCCTAAACACCAAGCTATGGGTGCCGAGAAGATGATTGATATTTTAATAAATAAAACTTTCAAACGAAAAGGTACACCTATAATATTATACACAAATATGTCTGGTAAATATTAACTCAGTTTTCAAGAGTGAATATCTTGGCAATAGAAGGTACACTTTTGGTGACAAGTTTTCTGCATGTTTACTCTATCAATGTCAATACACTGCTTGTGTCCTGTACTCAAGTTTTGCAAGACATTATCATTGAGGAAAATCTGAGTAAAAAGCTTAAGGGATTTCTTCATATTACTGATTAAACTTCTAAGTCTACAATTATCTCAAATGTTTAATTAAAAATGAACAGGAAGGCTTGGCGCCCATCATCAAAGACTACTAAGATCAGTGACTAAAATGGCCTGGACCACAGGTCCAAGCTGCCTACAGCATTTACCTTCCACAAGAAGCAAATGAAGATCAGAGAAAACCACCTGAATTCTAGGAAACTTTGTTCCCTTCAGTGCCACTGTCCTTACCTTCCCATGCTACCCTACAATCACTCATGTCCTGGGAAACGTCATGATAGAGAATGGTTAGATAGAAAGCAAAGTCAACCTGAGTATTTTCAACAGCACAAACAAAGAATGCTGAACTAGGAAAAGCTAGAGGTAGAGGAACTAATGAGGATGACCGGAGAAGTAAAAGAGAAAAAGGTCTTGGGCGGCGCCTGTGGCTCAAAGGAGTAGGGCACGGGCCCCATATGCTGGAGGTGGTGGGTTCAAACCCAGCCCTGGCCAAAAAACTGCAAAAAAAAAAAA